ACATTTCTTTTCAGCCTATGCTAAATGTGATATAACACCTCATTTTGCAATTTACGTCAGAAAACTGTCAACTACAAATTGCTTCCACTATCCATTGCGCACATGCATATCGATGAAATATAAGACACTTATTCCGGATGATTCTCAGCGCATGACAGATTTCCATTACCGTAATACAGCGCACCTATCTGGAAATAAGTCGTCGTTACGCTTGAAAAGAACAAAGCACAATAACAATTACAGTCCTTCTTCCGCAACAGCAAGACACCTGACCTCCATCTCGAAATGGCATTATGTACACCTGTACTCCTTATTCGAGCAACCAGCGTACCATAACGAAACAAACACGCATTCATTCCGAGGCAAATGGATACAAAAGACGGTCTCAATCACCATATGTTTGCCTTAATGTCCTTCCAACAGCGCAAGCCAGGAGATGGGTAGTGGGAAAAGAAAAACCTTTCCCCAGCCGACAGTCGTTATTCTCAGCAAGCATACAGATCACCTACATCATTAGTCGGGAAGTAAAGGAATATCTTTTGGCTAAATGTGGCTTCCTGGCAGTGACACTTCACCGCCCGCATTGCAGTGAAGTCAGCGCACACACGTACCTAGCAATTTGATGCGAAGTCTTGATGGATGTGTCGATTTGCCCGTTCGATAGGTCTATATATCTTGTAGGACGGTAGAAACCCCGATTGGCATGCTTAAGATCGGCAAAGCGATTTTCGGTGTTAAGTGTACGCAGTTTCTGCTTACCACCGAGCTTTATACGAAGCAGAATTTTCCCTTTGCTTTGAAACAATGCATAAGAAAGCGAAAATATTGTGCATTGATAAAACAGGATTTTTTATGAGCTATACCTAATTATTAATGGGAGGAAAAATCACAGCAATAGTCAACTTGCATTAATTATTTACCCTTCGAATTAAATTACAGTTAGAATTTTTTTTTTAAACCGCTCGAAGGAAGCATCGTCGAATAGTTAATTGTTTTCAATTCGTGGATTTCGTAGCCTGCCAAAATAAGAAATATTGCTATTTTAAGGGAAAACATTTTGCATGCCTCGTTCGTAAGTGCTCCAATAAAATAAACGCACAGCTACGACACGTATAATTGTATCTTCATTAAATAAAATCACAGGTTTAAGGAATTATCACAGTTTCGTGCATACTTCATTATCACAGTTCCGAGCATAAATGCTTATCATGTCCAATTAGCAACTGGAAAATCCATATTTCGATATATTCTCGGTGAAATTGCAAGCGAGTTTTCGTGGCTCTTGACTCCTTATAATAATCTCCATAGTGGCATTTAAAATAAGCTTGGATTGAAACGTAGTGCATCTGGATTTTGCGCCTCTCACCAGCCGCCTTTTTAGTGGGAAAGACAACAAGGATTTATTTCCTTCCCTTGTGCATATCCTAGTGGAGGTAGTGGAAATGGGTAGCATGTGCAACTAGCAGATGGATGATCCATCGCTCGAATACCAAAAGGCCAGGAATGACTTTTCATTTCTTCTGGTCATGAAAATTCGAACAGTCTTTACGTGGGTTAAATTTATAATGAAATAATATAAATCAAGTTCTCCTTCCTAGCACTGAAACGGCCCACCAGCGGCTGAGCGGTAAAGTCGATGAACACTGGTAGTTCGGTCTGAGGTTCGAATCCCGCAAACGGGCTGGCTGCATGGGTGTTTTCGGTTTTCCACATGTGTAACGTGTATACGAGCCAGTTACTCTTAGATATTCCTCCGCGAAGGCATCCCTCCCCTTAGGCAGATAGCCCTAGTGTGCTTTGCCATAATTAAATACACCACCACCACACCACACCTAGCACTGAAACTGTTACTCTTAATAGCTAGTTTGAATGTCCCACAATTTCTTTATATATTTTGAATTTGCGAAGTCTTAATTCTTAAACTAGAAGGCTAAATGCAATTTCTCAGATTAAAGTTATTAATGCATTTAACTGGAATCTTCATATGAAATTTGAAACTTTACTAGTAAACTCTTCTAAGTAATATACTATAATTTGTAATTCTCAGACTGGAATTTAATTTCTATTTTATTCCCTTACCACATTACAATCTATTAAAGAACTAAAACAATTATTATAAAAAAATTCCTGTTTTTTTATATACGTCTTTTTGAAAACACTGATATCTAAATTACATACACTTTGTCACGAATGAATTAATTTGTGCTTCGAGTTCACAAATCTAAACTCTACAATTTAATTAAATAATTAAATACCCGCAATTATTAATTTTGAATAATATCCGCAATTATTTTAATTTTGAATTCAATTATTTTAATTTATATGATCTTTAAATAAATATACTAAAAGGAACAGAAAAAAGCATGTATATTTACATCATATATTGAACAATAATGTATGATTTTATATTAAATAATGTGTTTTAAAAATAAATTAAAGATTAATTAATTAATAATTGAGTCATTTAACAAAACGATTGTATAAATAGATGCTCTTAAACATTTCAGAAAATATTAATTAAATGATTTTGATAAGTGCTCCTAATTAGAACATCGGCAGACAAATGGCTAATTAATTCAGCGAATTAGCATATTTTCTTGCGAAATAAGTTTAAATAATTAGTTAAAGCAATTTATAATAAAGGAGATAAGAATATATGCAAGCATTCAACATATCTAACAATTCTAATTAACAAACATACTGAGCTACAGTGGTGACCGCCTTTAAAACGATTATTTCTGAAAGTGATGAATATTCTTAAACATAATTTTAACTTCGAATCTCAACTACTGTAAAGCAGTTACGTCTACAGAAGGCCAAATTGTCTGGAACTGTCGGTGGTCGTTTTAGAGGGATTCACTGCTTATAACACCAGAAATTATAGTATACTACTAGATTAAAGAAAAGACCTTAAAGATCACCTTGTTGATTACTTAAAGTAACTTTATTTTGCTATAATAAAAGGCAAGGAAAAATCAATGTTATTAATATTTCATAGCCAAATTATATGATTTGGGTATAGTTCATTAAAATTGCTGATATAAAAGGTCAAGTACTGAAGTCTTTTCAAATGGTCTTTTACTAGCACTTTTTTGTACGTTTTAATATTCGTGAACAGCAAGATTACATTTCTTACATCTATCTTAAAGTTTTAAGTGAGACCATCGACATGAAGCGATGATTGTGCCTTTTAATTGGAATATTTAATTTATAGAATATTTAATGAGAGATATTTCAAGTGAAAAATTAATAGTTAATACCTAATAACGGAACGGTTTCATTAATTCATTTCATACCTTTCATATAAGAATATATTTCTGCTTAAAAACGCTGACTTCTTATATGAAGAGTACATAAGTTGTATCATTGCAAGCATCATAAATAGCGCAAATAATTTTTAAGCGCGTGCAATGAGATCTTTGCGTTTTTAGGGATGAAATAGAGAACTCAGCATCAAATTGGAAACATTTTAACACTTTTAAAATTTGTCCCTTTGTTTTTTAAAACGATTTTCTGAAAGAATGAATGAAACGAAACTTTCGTTGAGATCTAGCATCACTTTTTTTCCTGTATCAGTTTGATTTTGGAGTTAAGCTCATACTAAAACATAATAAATTTTAAATATTTTATTTTGGATAAAAGTTAGCATTATTTGCAGTATAAAGTAATATACCTTTTCCTTCTTTAAATAAGTGCATTTATTTTATTTTTGCGAATTCGTAAACCTAATGCTAATTCAGACTTTGGTCATATTACTTGAAAAAAAAATTGGATAACAGGAATGTTTATCTTAATTCATCCCGCAGTGAAAATAGCAATGTTTCAAGTCTTAATGACCTTTCAAAAAAAGGTTAAAATGTATAATGTGCATTAAGAATGTGAAAAATAGTAATTGTTCAATAATAACAAATTCTGGATTATTAATTAATTAAATGCATACAAGCATATTGTCGTTGAGACCATAGTTTAAATTTATGCCTGTAAAACACATAACATGTTTTGAACCATTTTTATAAACATTTTAAAATTTAATAATTTTACGATAATTTTTCAAAAAATTCGAAATGTTGAAGAAATATCAGTGTATACTTATGCAATCATATTCCATTAAAATTAAAATTAAATATTTACAGTTGGTTGAATTAGATAAAGTGTTCGATAATTATATTAGGTATATTAATTAATTTTGAGACTATTGAACATAATTTCCTAATAAATGTTGTAATGTTTTAGATAGTATACTGAGTGGTTTTATCTGCCAGTGATAATAATGTTAGAATAAAGAGAAGTTCTAGCTGTATGGAGAAAAGAACACTTTTAGACTTATGACTGAATATTTTAGTTTTATCTGACAAATATATAGGCAAAAACTATATATATATACGAGGAAGTACGAGAGGAAAAAAAAATATGGGCAAACTTTTCAAACAACTGGGGCATGTCTAACACGAATTCATGCCTCAAGTACTTTAAATTTAGGGATAAACTTCCAACATACGTTGTAAAAAAGTAGCATATAAAAACGCGCTTTTATTTATCGAACAAAACTGTTTTAATATACAAAAAGAAAAATGCGATTGAAAGTTTTTAATAGCTTGAATTTCTTAAAAATTATCAAGTGTACATTTTGTGGCCTCCAGCAAAAAGACGTTTACTTTTATAGCACTTCTAGGTTAGCTTGGAATTTAAATCAGAATGCCAAACGCTTTTAATAAGGATTTCAGTTGAAGCCGCCAAAATATCGAATTTTATACAAAGAAAATCTATGCTTTCAATTTGTACTCAGAAAAGGACTGCAGGGTTTACTCAGAGGTTGAACTGTTAACCTTCAGATCAATTCTAACTATCGTTTTGCAAAGGTTTGCAAAATGCATGTACATTTGATATCTGTATAAGTTTTGCTTCTATTCCAAAGGGATATAGAGTTTTAATTTTGTAAAAAAGACTTTACAGCCTGTCGAAAACAAGCACTTCAACTTTCAGCGAACTTAATTTCTTACCTGAGGTCGGGGTTATGGCAGGGTTGGCGAGTCCGTTGGGAACTGTTGTCATCTGAGGCAACTGCGCAATGGCAAGTGCAGCCATCGGATTCATGTAGCCTCCTTGTGCTGCAGCGGCCATGATCGCTGCTTGTTGCTGCATGAACTGGAAAAGAATATCTAGCATTAATGCTATTACATTACATTGACCCATTTAAAAATGACAAGAATAGATATCAGTAATAAATATTATAACGTTCTATAATAAATCTGAATTCTCAAACATATGATATATGTTTGGGTATATTCGTATACATGAATGTATGAGCTATGTAAAATATATATTAAAATAAAAATATATGAAATACGTAAATGTACATAATCAAATATGAAGTAAACTAAGCGTAAAATATATATGCATTTATTTAATCATGATGTGATATTTATTTTCTTTCTATTTGGCATTGATGATTTCCTGAATATACACTGCTCAAAAAAAAAAAAAAAAAAAAAAAAAAAAGGGACAGTGCTTTATATCTCCCGTTCTACTGGGACGATTGACAAAATTCAAACTGCGTTTTCCATGTCTCGAAAGCGCGACTTAGGATATATATTAGATTTATATATAGCACTATTCTAACATAGGTATTTTGACACAAAATCGGACTTTTCTGAAAAACATATAAATTTTTTTCCATATTTCGATTCTACGACTCAAATTATGCCAGAATACCAAGTTTTGTAAAAATCGTACGAATAGTTTTTAAAATATTAGCTCTCAAAATTTTAGCTCCTCAATGTTAACTGAATTTGGTAAATATTTATTAATATATCTTTTTTATTAAACTTTTATTATTTTTCCTTTCACATTTCGAAATTTAGGTTCATTCCAAATAAAATTTACCCATTTTTTTGTGTTTTATTTTTTAAATTTTTAATTTTTAAATAATTTTTATAAATTTTTCGAAAAAAATTTTGAATTATAACCTATAAAAGTTTTTGCCATCATCTTAAAGTAGGTGTATTTTTAAGCATATCTGCAAAAAATTAGAATTTTTTATTCAAAATTTTCTAAGATATACACGAAATTTACATATTTTCGCGTTTTCAAATTTGGCAGCTTTTTTGGGCGTTAATAACGCCAAATGTGGTTTATGGATATTTGTTACAGTGAATTGCCACAGCTTTTTTTAATGTTAAATTTTAAGTAAAATTTTATGGAGAATTAATTATATGAAATATTTTTCCTCAATGCGTAATAAATACTATATGAAAGCTATTTTTTTTTGAAATTATAGATGATATTATTCAAATCTTTAACTATTTTTTTTTAATTTCTCTGTTTCTTCCTTTTTTTTAAAAAAATAAGAGTAAATTTTTGTAAGAGTAAAATTTTACCTTTGTCTAAAACTGAGAATTTTCGTTTGATGTTTATTTGAATTTTATGAAAATATTTTATGACATTAACTGCATAATTTATATCTAAACAAACTGTTGCTTCTGAAGTGGCTGAAAGAGCGGCTGATACTATCATCCATATTTTTAAAGCTCAGTACATTTTTATAGAAACGTAAGATTTAGAATAATAATTTTTATAAAAGTCAAATTATGATATAAACATACAACCCTCTAGAGACTGAATTAATGGAAGTTATGGTTATGTAGAAATGATCTGATCTGCAGCTACGTACTGGCTGGATAAGTCAGCAGGTTCTATGGACAAGTAAGAATAATTATATAAACGACACTCAACATTCTGGATTCAATTAACAACGAGGATACGATGTTTATTAAATGAATTTAAGAAGTTTTAAGACATAAAAAATCAACTCATTTTTTATCCTAAAATGTATTTTTGTGCGTAGGGTATTTTCATTATATCCTTAAAATTATAATTTAGAATGTAATTGTCAAGAACTGAATCCTAATCATCAGTAATATAATAAGTAATTATTATGGATATTAATAAATCCTTCTTATAAAGTAATTGCAAATATTTCAAAAAACTTTCTGCCTGAATGCAAATATTTTTCTATGCAAATATTTTTAATTTTATATTAATCAAGATTGCACACGATATTATTTATTTACACTTCAATTCTTACCGTCAGCTGTAGTAGAAGTTACAAATCAATTATATTTAATTAAGGAAAGACCATCTAAGTTTAGAAACAGCGTACCGTAACAGCAATTCAATTATTGGCGCCGTATCTTTCATGTTACTCACGATTGGCAAGCTATATGATTTTTAATGAGTATTCGGGTTTTGCTAGTAACTTTACTTGGAAATCACGCTTAAACTAGATTAGTTGGTTATTTGAACATAGGAAGAACATGGGAGCTATTTGATTAAAATGCTTTCATAGATAACCTTTGTAAAGAGAACCTACAGAACTACGAAAAGCCAGCCATGCAGCCTGGGTTAGACTTCGCAACAAACAATTAGTATTTAACAATCTTCAAATGCTAGGCAAATGGTGAGGCTCCAGTTAAATCTCCAATTTAATATTTTATTTGTAAATATTCAAAATATTATTGTATTCTTAGACACAAAAAGCAGAATTTAAGTTTTGTTAACTCGTTAGTAAACTACCAAACCATAGTGCAAATGAATATTCAATTTCTTTTGCAATAATTGTATTCACTTAATATTCTTGGAATATGAGCTAAAGAAGGAAAGTTCTCGGAAGATTAAAGAAGTGTTTAAATCCAGTGATATTAGATTTGTCTTACAAGCTCAGGATCAAAACGATTCTGCAATTGCCAGAGTAGTTGACTTGTGAATGGCTGTGAATTAAGCAGATGACTTTTAATTTTACGTTTTTAATAAAACGTATTCCAAATGTTTTGTATTGCATGACAATGTATCTTTTCATTATTCAATAACCAGTCGGAGAACCGCCTGTGTTCCGAAAATAAATATGTGTACTCAATCGTCCTGCATGTTCTTCAAATTTGTCTTCTTGTGAATTTTTTTCTTTCCCCAAAACTAAAGTTGCCTCTCAAAGGAAAGTTTTTTTGACATTGAAGAGACAAAAGGAGTATGACATCTACTTTTAGAGGCATGTCAAAAACAGATCTTTACAAGCCTTCTCTTCTATTACATGTTGTGCAGTCAGACAAAAAGTTGCATCAGCGTAAATTCGATAATCTACGAGTATTTTTATTACACTCTGATTACTTTATTAACATACAGTGACTATATACTAAATCTTTTACTTCAGCTTAAGTAATTCGGAATTTTTGACGGAACTAGGACTTAGTTTTGTTTGACAGTTTGGTTCAAGTCTCAGCTTTAAAAAATATGTATAGAAATATAAATCTTTGTATATTAATCCTCTTAGAAAGAATGTTTTAAGAAGCTAATTTTCTCTCGCGTTATAGATTGTATAAAAGAACATGTTCTTTAATATTATTTAGACTGTTTCAGCCGATATAAGAATCGGGTTACTCGGTGGCACAGAATAAATTCTGCTGGACTGTTTTATTTCTTTTTCATTTAGCAAAAATCTTTTAATTAAAATATTTATCCTTTGGACTTCGCTTTAAACTTTATTTATAGTTAAAATGACTAGAAAATGAAAAGCTGTCTTCAGATGAAACGCAATTTATGTAATTGATATTTTAAAAAATTGACAAGAATGCAAAATTTATGGAAGTCTAGCAATCGAAAAATCTTAATTTTCGTGTGTGAGCACTGAAAATAACTGTAGAAGGAAAGAAGAAAATTAGGGAGAAAAGTAAGCAAAAATTTACATTGAAATTTGGCTGTCAGACATACCAAGATGTTTCAAAAAGTTGGAGGCATTTGAATATACTTTCAGGATACTTCAAAGAATTTAGGTGTTCAAAGAGAAAACACTTGAACTTGTACACCAGCAAATACCATCAATTGAGCTTGTGTTAACAGAATTCGCGTGCAGAACCTAAGGTTCAGTTCTATTTAATGTAAAACATTTATGCCTAATAAATGTACTCCCATCAGCAGCCCGAGCGGTAAGATCATTGAACACTGATACTTCAGCACTAGTTCGAATCCCGAAGAATGGATTTGGTGCATGAGCGCTTCCTTGATTTTTCTGATGTGCAATACAAATGTGAGACAGTTTAAAAAGGTCTCCAAGAAGGAATCTACCCCCTTATATAGACAGGCTTTGTGTGTTTTACCATAATACTTAAGCTGGTTAGGGTAGAATGTTTGAGGTTTAGGAGCCTCTTCGTTAAATTTATACACGATCTGGATCACATTCATTTTAGAATTGAAGTGGAAGAATAAGTAAAAATGTATTATGTGGTGGGACTAAGTATTCTTAATCTCCTAACCTAAACGATTTACAATGACATTTCAATTGTAATTAAAGTTTAACATATTTGAGGTGACTATTTTTTTGCTTCTTATTGGAGATCAAGTGGAATTATACCCCCATTAAAAGGGATATAATTGTACAAGAAGTTACACAGGATTTGAACATTGTTAAAATTAATCATATTTTCATTTCTAGCAGTTGCAAGCAATGGATTGCAGAACACATTATGAAAGTTGGGTTTTGAAATTATCTTCTTCATATCCATTATATGACCTGTGGTTGACCTAAGGAAGTGCAGAGGGCACGGAAATACGCTTAATGTCCAGAAGAAGGAGTTTAATCGCATGCTTTCAAGATGAAAAATGTAATAGCAACTAGCGAAAAATTATTATATGTACTAAAATTTGGTTTCATTGCGGTGTTTTAAGACATACAATTTTTAAGAAAATAAAGAAATATGAGTCATACGCACGTACGGTACACAGCTACAGATTGTTTAAAAGCAAAATATGTTTAAAAACATATAATAATAATAATTAAAAAAAACACCACTCTTAGATGCAGAAAATTTCCTACAGTATTATATATAAATATGGTACGTCATTAAAACCAATAATTAATTTCGTGATGTTAGCAGATTTGCACAATAACTATATGATTGTTAAACTACACTGCTGGACATTAAAATGCCTATAACAGAAAAAAAAAAGAAGCAGAATGTTATTTTTGTATGCATAAAATATAACGAAAGAAGACTCGATTAAATTTGCTGATAGTTTTGGGTATAAACCATGCACTATTTCGCTACTAGCATCCACCTCTGGTAGCGAAAATGGCTATAATCTGGTTGGGTTTCGAG